AATGGGGGTAATTCCTGCAGGGTGGTGAAGGCAAAGTAAGATGCTGGAAAACGGGCAACAGTGACATTTTTAGAGTACTTACTCTCCACCCACATAACTAGTCATTGTTTCAAAAGCACTTAGTGCAGTGCCTGGTGGCTAATAAGTGCTCAATAAATTGGGGATGTCGTGATGTTGTTGTACCATTGCTTTATTATTTTGGTTTTGTTTTAGACCCAGGTGGGGTCCCAGACAGGAGATGCTTGGCCACCTCGGCACAGACACACTGCCCCCTGGTGCTGCTGCCGGGGAATCAGCACCTGGGAGAAGCACTGTTCCAGAGAGGAAGTCCGTGGCCCTGTCTGCACCAGGCCCTGGGCCCATCTGAGCATCCAAAGCTCCAGCCGCAGCCTTAGAAGGACAAGGCAGGGCCTGCTGGCTTGGGAGGGAGGCCCCGTTCCTGGAACTTCAGTCTCTCTGTTGCCAAGCCGATCCTGGGGAGCCCAGCAGAGCATCAGCTCTCTTGGCTCCTTCCAGAGGGTCCTGAGCACACCAGGCTGAGGCCCTAGGAGGCACAGGCAGGGACAGCTGACTGTGACTGGCCTCAACAGATCAGAAATGGTCCCAGCTGCTGAGCACAAAACCAGGTCTCTCCCTAAAAGAGCACCCCTAAGCAGCCCTGCAGCCTCCCCTGAGTATGGCCTGGTAGTTCCCCCAAGTTCTAATGCCCATAGGGGCATCTTCAGAGGTACCCCCTATCCCTTGCCATGCGAGGGTCTCTGTTTCTTGGGGCGGGGATACAAATGCCTATGGGAACATGGGACTCAGAGAGACTTACAGGCTCCACAAAGAATTGTAAAAGCACCAAGCTGCCTTGCATTCCTGAAGGGGTGGGGGATGACAAGCACTTTCAAAGCCCTTTCAAAATAGCACATCGGGGCTGGACTTGTGAAGTCAGCTGTCATGCCGGGTGCAGGGGGATGTGGGTGACCTTGGAAGAGCCTAGTGGGGACACAGTGCCTGGCTCACCCTGCATAAACTGCCTCTAAAAATCCCAGATCATCCTGACGTCAAAAGACTGTTTAGCGCAGTGCCAAGCAGGCATCAAGAAGAAATTAAACTCCAGCTCGAGACGGAGGAAAGCCCAGTCTGACAGGAGCAGCTGGGCTAGAAAGTGGAGGCAGAAATTCCTCAAGTTAATGCTTTCCAAGGCCTCTTGGGCCACTCCCGGGTCTTGTCTGAAGCTATTTACTTCCAGGGGGGAAAACCCTATTGATCTTCATTCAGTTGCTGTCTGCTCCTACAAGGCAGCGATGTTTCAGCGCATCACCAGTCACTGCGAGAAATTTCTCATTGTTTTACACGCAGCGCCTCCCAAACTCAGGAGACAAACGAACATTTAGGACCGTTTGGGTGAGCCGATAGGAGAAGCAGATAGGGCTGGTTTGGGAATTCTCAGGGAGGGGACCATACTCCCGTGGGACAGACTGAGCTGCTGGCTGGGCCCTCCAAGGCCCCTCCTCAGGACCGCACAGCTCAGTTCTGTTCTGTCTGTAGCAGCTTGGAGCATCTGAGCTGAGCCAGTCCTGCCCTCCTGCCTCCTCCCCTGCTCCCCATCACACCTGCTTTATGTCTCTGAAGTTATTTGGCTCTGAACTTCCCCCCCCTGACCACCATCCACCAGAGCTCCCCAGTTGCTACCACCACTGGCCTTTTCCAAATTCCAGGCTGGCCTGCAATCCAACATGTAAGGTTTCTCGGATGTTAACAAAAGGGGAGGTCTGGCCATGAAACCTACAACGGCAAGGACAGTCCCCACCAGCCTGCACTAAAGGAAACTTTGAAGCCACAGACTATGCCAAACCCTCAAGGCTAACCCGTAGTTTTCAGACTGGGAAATTGAGGCTTGAGGTGGGGGTAAGAGTGTGATTTGATTAAGGTGGCCCAGTAAGTTGGTGAAGATGGCAGAAAACCCAGCCCTCCTGCCCCTCAGTTCAGAGCCTTTCCACTCAAGCTTCTAGGTCACGTAACCAGGAACTCCAGGTCCCCCCATGAGGTCACTGAAGTCCATTTGGCTAAAGGGACCCTTGCATTAAACTGTTTTCCATGAGTTAAGACCAGGATCCATCCGAACAATAATAACTATGATGATAATAATAATAAAATGCTGAACAATATGCCTTGAAAACCTTCAATGAGCAACACTTGATAATCACACAGAGAATACATCTCCCACATATTCATATAAAATAATCAATGATCATTTTTTTCTGCAGACTACAATCCAATTACTCTCTCTCCCTCACTCTCTCCCTCACTCTCCTTTGTTACTTGCAAACCATCCAAGCAATCAATGCCTTGACCTCTCCCTCTGATAGACACAATTACAAAAAGACAGAGCAATGCAATTCATCTATTCAAGACGGATTGTTTGAACACTTTGTCACACTGCTGAGCTATCCATCTCCTTGTCTAAAAGGAAATTTCAGCCCCCAAAAGAGGCACAAAGAGAGGGGGTAGTATGCTGCTCCCCAGCCCAGACAGCCCCTAGCGTACCTGCAGGAAAACCCTCTCCCCCAGGGCTGGTGCTCAGCAACGCCTGCCTGCTGGAGAAGGATCCAGCTCCCAGCACGGCCAGCTCAAACACCCTAAGGAACCCAGTTCCTAGAGCCTCAATGCCTGCAGTCCCAGTTAGTCCAGAGATCTCAGGGCAGGCAGGGATGGGAAAAGGGAACTGGCATCTGGCCCGATGAAGGGGTGTGTCTGGGTTTCAGGATAAAATGTTCTCTCCCTGTGCCATGGCCCTGCAGCCCCCTGGCTCTGACTGAAGCTCAAACCTGGGCTCAAAAGAACTGAAGTTCAGCTGCCCAGGATGCTTCAAAAAGCCTACAGGCCCTCAGAACCTTCCCATCCTCCATGCAAGCTGGCTCAGCTCCTGCGGTCACGTTTGGCATCGGCATAGCACCCCAGTCCGTGGGCTGGGAACCAAACGGGGCAGGGCACTCATATATAAATGGCTTGGGCCGACACGCTAATTAATCCTGGGGCTTAATACGAAGAAGATTAAAAGAGAGGAGGGCTTTGCCATCCTTAATTGCATTATTACATGCTGAACCCAAGAAAGGGTGGGCAGACTTGGAGCTTCCCCTCAGAGCAGTGAGGAGCCCCCCAGCCCATGCCAATTTCATAGTCAGAGAGGGCAGGTGAGGATATGTCATCCTGCCCCTCTTCAGCTCATACTTCTGATGCTGCCTTCACCTGCTCCTGTGTTCCAGGGTCCCCAAAGACCTTCTTCCCTGAGGCTGGGCCGTGAGCAAGCCCAACCCACCCCTGCGGTGTAAGGACCACAGAAGAAAGATCCTGCAATGCGTGGGCTGAGCTCATGAAACCTTTTGGGTCCCCTCTTTTTTCCCAAGGGCACCTTATCATGCAGGTCTCTTCCAAAAAAGGGAGGGAGAGGAAAAAATAAAGGATGTGCTGGCCAGCCACTAAGAGGCTGCCTGTCCCACTGCCCCTTGAATGGTAACCAAAGCGCAGCCCCTGGAATGGTAACCAAACTGGGTGCCGGGGCAGCAAAGGTGCAAGAGCTAGAAGACTTGTTTGGCTTGCCAGTAGCTGCCTGGGCAGCAAAGGGTTAAGCCTGGCCATGAGGGCAATCCCCAGAGTCCGGATCTGGGGATCTGGGCTCCTCTGCCTCCCTTGTAGCTTGGTGGGGTAGGGGCCATGGGCTGAAAGACTCCAGCATGGCCAGACCTAATGAGGCATGTGCCCTTACCCTCAACCAGATGTCCAGCTATAGCTGAGAGACCCAGGGAGGAGACAGCCCCTCCAAGATTTCTGACCGTAGCCTAGGAAAACCTCAAGTACACAAACCAAGCCCTACATTGGCTCCCCAGACCTCCTTTATGCCGCTGGCAGTCTGGGATCCTCGTTTGGAGAAAAGTGGCTCTGGCTTGGCAGAGCCCTGCCAGCCCTGTACCAGACGCTGGAGGTGGCGCTTTGAGAACCCAGGTGGCCCAAGTCTCTGGCCTGGCAGCCTACGCAGAGCCTGCATGGCTGAGGCTCCCGCGTGGCCAGGCCGGGCCCAGCCCTGGTGATCACAAGCCTCGGACACGGACCGCCTCTCCACCCCCCAGCCCCAGAGCGCCTGCTTCCAGGGTGCCTGGGGCGGCCACAACAAAGTTAAAGCCTTGAGTAAGAGTCTCCATCGAGAAGAGAAGCGAAGATACCAGAGACCCAGAAAGCCTCGCGCAGCACCGCCAGCCACCTCCAGCTGCGGAGGGATTGAGGCTAACTTTAAAAACCACTGGCATCGCTCTCCTCCTTGGCTGCCTAGGCAGGCTCTGTGCTCCCTCCCCCCACACCTCGCCTGCGTTGCCCCAGGCTGGAGAAAAGGCCTCTGCTCCTTGGGTTGGAGCAACCAGCTGGAGGAGGCAGAAGCTGACCCTCCCCTGTGCCAGGCCACGGGGCTGAATGGGGACCACTAAGGCCCAGAGCCACCACCAAGAGAGAAGATCCACTGCCCCCGTCATGCGAAGCCCTACCCTGCGCCCCTGCCGCATTCCCGAGAGCCTTGTCCCGGGTGGGGGCCAAGGGCCCGCGGAGAGCCAGGGAGGGGAGAGAAGTTGGCGCCTTCCCCGGGGTTCCCGCTCTGCGGAGTAGCCGGGTCCCAGAACTCGGGCTGCGGCGGGTCTTGCTGGTAGTACCCGGGAAATAAGCCCGCGACTCGGCTTGGGGCTGGAACGCTCGCCACACTCTGCCAGGTCTGGCCTCCTAGATGCGCGCGAAGGGCCCCTCGCCAGCCGCGGCCCGGCTGCTTCCTTCCCAATAAGTGAGGCCCGTGACCCTGGCTTTGGAACTTTGTCCTCACAGGGGCCAGCTCCTGGGGCTCACAGGGTCCCCGCAGCCTGGTGAGCGGCTGGGGGAAATCTCCTGGGGTTGCGTTCAGAGCCCCTACCCCCTCCGGCCATTCCCGCCCTCGCCCAGGCGCATGGAGACCCCTGGCTCCCGGGAGCCCTTACCGATCCGGATGACGTGGGGCATCCCGCGCGAGTCCGGGATCCAGAAGGCGCACACGAGGAGCCCGGCCCAGTATTCCCAAACCAGACTCCGGAGGCGCCGCCAGGGAGCGGTCATCGTTGGGCGCCGCCGAGCGTGCCCGGGGCGCGGCCGTGGCGGGCTCCCCGGGGCGGCAGCTCTAGGCGCTGGCGCGCAGCAGCCCCCTAGGCGCCGCCTGGCCCAGCTGCCCGGCTCCCGAGCGCCGCTGCAAGTGGGGGGCGCCCCGTGGCGCCGCGCACATCTTACTGGGGGGCCACCCCGCGGGCGCCCGCCCCGCCCGGCTGCCGCCCACGGGCCGCCCGCGAGCGAGGCTCCTGGGCTCCGCCCGGACTCCACTCGGACTCCGCTCCGGCTCGCTTCGGCTCCGCTCCCGCGCGGGCTCCCACCTGCCCCGGCTGCCGGGCGCTGGCGGGCGGGCAGCACGCGTCTCCGGCCGCTCCTCCTCCAGCCGCCGCCGATGCTATCGCCCCGGCTCGCACAAAGCCCCGGAGTGGAGTTGCACGCGCGCACACACTCCCTCCCAGCCCCCTCCCCGCGCCCTGCCTCCCGCCGCCCGCGCCGCCCGCGCTCCCTCCGCGCACTCCCCCGCGCACACACACTTCACACTCACACCCGCCGAGGCGTACACTCGCGCGCTCACACCTGCTCAGGGGGCGGGGAAGGGGCCCCGGGACCCGGTCTTGGGGGGGACGCCCCGAGAATGAGGACTGGCCTCGCTTCCCAGACGCCCCCATCCGCCCCGCCGCCCCCGGCTCCTGCCACTGCTAGGGCACCGAGCCTGGCAGCCCGGCGTGGAGCGCGCGAGCGCTGGCACCGCGAGCCTGGAGACCGCGGCCGCAGCCGAGCGGCCCGACCAGCTGGAGAGGACGCGCTGCCGGGAGCAGGAGGACCCGAGCCGTCCGCGGAATCTCGCTTCCCAGCTCCCACGCAGCTGACACCGGCCGGACAGGCGCTGCCAGAGGCTGAGACTGACCCAAGAACTGGTTTCCCTCCCGAACTCCATCCCTCGTGGGAGCTTAGTTGGGGTCCCGGGCTTGGGGAGACAGAATTCAGAGAATTGTCCAGGCTGGGTGAGGGGCGCTGCGGGGACCGGCAGGGGCTGGAGCGCCCAGGCCGAAAGCTCTGCTGTAGACGACAAGACAACCGCAGCTGCAGCTCCAGGGGCCTCAGCGGAAGATGGCTAAACCCTTAGCCACCGAGGGGATGTACCCTGCTACTTCCCATCCCTGTTCTCTGACTGTGCAGGAGGGTCTGGCTCCCCCGGTCCACTCCTCTCCGGAAACAGATTAAAGAGAAACTAATTTTCCACCACGGGATGGGGGGAAAAGCAGGACCCATGGGGAGCAAGCTAGAAAGGGTTAAAAAAATACCTTGTTTATTAGCAATAATAAATTTTTTTTTCAAGTAGCGCTGGGCGTCGAGGGAAGGGAAGGGCTGTGGAGCGAGTCCAGAGCAGGAGGCTGCGAATTACGCAGTTAGGCGAGTTTAATGACCTTTTTGACAGAGACAAAGCAGTGCTGATACAGTAGATAAATAAACGGATCTGTCACCGGGTAGCGGCTAGGCTGTGTGTGAATTTATTTTTCTCATTTAAATAATTTGATCTATTCCATCATTCCCAATCTCTCCCATTTGCCAGCTGTCTGGTAAGAGCTTGGCCCCCAACATCTGAAAAGCAAATCTTTAATTTTCTTACAAATATACTGTTGTAGAGGAGCTCTAGCTGGTTTGTTAATTTCCCCGGCTTTTCTCTCCCGCCCTGTCTGGGCTTAGGGGACTGGGGCGTTGTGTGGGGCTGTGACTAGTGCAGCGTGGGCGATCCTAACAATTAGGAGAGGCGCCCTCCCACCTGAAGTGGAGGCCACCTTGCCTGTGGGAGGAGGAGGGCTCTGCCCCCACTAAGGGAAGAGCTCTGCCGGTCTGGGGGGTATCCTCAAAGATTTGCCAGCAAACAGAGATTACCGGCTGGCCATACGTGGGCCTTCGTCACCCCGGAGCAGGAGGCGCTGGTTTCCCGAGCAGTCACTGGAAAATGTTGCCCAAGGGACCAGAGGGAAGGACATGCAGACCAGAGCCAGAGAAGCAGCAGCTGCCACCTCTTGATAAAGATTAACGGGCCCCCAGTGGTCTCCAGCGAGGAAGGAGCACAGGAGAAGGGATCAGAAGCCCCACCTTCCTGGATAAAGCTGGGAGAGCCTCTTCATTCAAAACTGGACACCCCCAGCCCCATCATCTAATCAGCTTCTAAAACTGCTTTAGTAGCTCCAAAGAACCAAAAAGTCCTGGATGTTCTCTAAAGAAGAAAATTCTGGTGCCTGATGGAGAAATAGAGAAGGGGTTGGTAGAACCTGAACTCATGGCAAAAGATGCAGACATCCCCAGCTGTCCCCAGGGACCATTCGATGATGGGGAGAAGGGGAGAGCCTAGGTGGGTGCTGACTCTGTTTTGGTTTCCTGCAGGCAGCCTCTTGCCCTCAGAGGGCAAAGTGCAGGGCATAAGTGCCTGGCAGGAAAACTGAAGCAGAAGAGGCAAGGGATGGCTCCAGGGAATGCGTGCTCTGCACCCCAGACCAGAGTCCAGGGAGAGGCCAGCGGGAGGGCAGGCTGAAGGGAGCAGGTGGAGGAGAAAAGCCAGCAACAAGTTGTGCTAGAAAAGGGAGTGGATGGAGGCAGGGAGGAATCTGAGGCTCCCAGAACCCAGAGGGTAGCACTGTCACCTGCAGCCCCCTTGGCACCCCAGAGCAGCAGCACAGCTGGGCCTTGCTCCTGCGGCCTCCCAGCATGGACGGGCATTCTGCTGCCCAGGGAGGCTTTTCTCTGCTGCCACAGTGGCTGTGGTGGGAAACAGCCTCCGGCCAGAGCGGTCATGGGGCTTGTCCCTGGGTCTGGAGCCCAGCTGCTGCCCTGGGGTCAGAGTCCTGGTGTCCCCAGCCCGGACTGGGCTTTATTCTGACCTAACTGCAAACCATTTTGTAGCACAGAGGTCTCCCCGAAAGGACAGCAGTCTGCTCCCTCCCAGTCTGGGGGAGGGTGAAATGCATTACAACAGCAAGAAAATAATGACCAGCAGTTATTACGGGCTTTCTATGTGTCACACCGCGCCCTAGCTCACTAGCTCACACATGTCACGCCATCGACCTCTCTCCAGCCAATACGAACAGCATCTGTGTGACTCTTCCATTTCACAGATGAAGACTGAGCCTTGGAGAGGTTAAGAAGTCCCAACTCACACAACTAGTAGGAAATGTCCCTCCCTCCTCCACTCCCTGCCTCTTTCCTTTCATCCTTCTTGGCATCACTCTTTGTCAGGCACTGTGGGTGAGGAGCCAGGATTTGCCTCCAGGACTATCTGATTCCCCTGCTTACAGGCTTGACCCTTGTCTTATCCCACCTGGTGAGAACAAGGACAGGCTCTAGGAGATCACCTCTTCTAGAGGCCGGGGGCTTCTGGCTACTGGCAGAAAGGCTAAGGCGGAACAGGACGTGAGCCTGGAACACACTGGGGAACCCTGACATCCTCACCTCAAGAGGTGAGACCTGCAGCCCCTTCTTCCTGTGGTCGTGTTCCTCTCCTTGCTGCCCTGCCACCAGCAGGCACCAGGGCTGGCACTGTATCTCCTGGGGATTGGAAGCCACCAATCCTGGTATTTTGGATTGTTGGTAAACAAGTCTACCCAACAGCCCGGCCTCAGCTCCCCCGCGAGGCAGCCAACTCCGGATTTATGAGGCCTCCAAACCTCATTCAGACTAATGCAGCTTTTCATTCCAAAATAAAAGGGGCCGCTGTCTGAAGGACAAGTGCTCCCGCATTTCATTAAAATCCCGAGGAAAAAAAAAAAACAAAACAACCCAAACCGGCTGAGCTGGCCTAAGTCGCTGCCAGGGAAATTCATGACTCCCACCCGCTCACAGGTGGGGGGTAGCGGGGAGAAAGACCCGCAAGGCTGCCAGCCCCTCCCAGCCCCCCTCCCTGCCCCCCCCCACCTTCTGGGGGGTGGGAGGGGAGCCCAGTGATGGCCAGGCTGGCTCATTTGGAGGAGTCCCCTGTGTGTATGTTTTGTTTAGACTGAGCCACTCCAGCTCTCAATCCCCCCACAATCACAGTGAGTGATGAGGCCCTGGGCTCGAGTTACCGAGATTCATGATCTCCGCTTCCCAGGGAATCACCGAGCACACGCGTGTGGTTGCTGAGTGCAGATTCCTAGGGCTTGACTGCCCTCTGCTGAAGCCTGCCTACGTCCTCTCCCTCAGGCAGCGTGTCTGCAGCCCGTGGAGGCTGGACGCTGCCCTGAGGGAGCCCACTCCCCCACATCCTCTGCGCTGGCCTGCATGCCAGCAGCCGCTGCAGGACCTGCCCACCCCCACCCCGGGTGTCTTGGTGAGAATGGGGAGGAGAGGCTGCCTTGCCCCCACCTCACCCTGGAGGGGAGCAAGGGTGAGAGGAGGCAGCTGCCAGCCCTTGCCTCATCTTTGCCAACCATTCGAGCAGGGAGGGGGAGGGAGAGGACTTCTCAGTACCCACTCTTTGTTCAACTCCATCATCTCCACGGCAAAGTGTGGGTAGACCACAAAAGCCAAGCCTCAGTCCTTCACTGGACACTGCACCCCACCAGGGACAGAGACCCTGTCATCAGCCTGGGGCCTCTGTCCCTTATCCCCAGCCCCTGAAGGAAGAGGCACGGCAGCCGCGGGTTTCCAGCAACCAGCCTAGGGAAAGCTGCGTCACCTTAGATTTTTGTCAACAGTCAAGAAGTTCATTCCCACTGAAGTCAATTCCTGTGTTTATTGTCAGCTTAACCCGCTGCTACGAGTTATTTCTCGGCAGTGAGGGAGACAGGTAGACAAACCACCAGAGATATGCTATTTTACTGACACCTGCGTTTCAATAGTTCGGGTGCAGTTCTGGTGGAGGAGTAAATGGTACATGGCACGCCTGTTTGTAGCTCTGCGAAACGGAACAGCCCTGGATGGTCAGGAAGCCTGTCGGGTGTGGTTGCCCAAGGAGAGGGGGAGGAGAGAGCTGCCCTCTGCAAACAATCACCTCTGGGGTCTGGTGGCTGGTCCTCTTTATCCAGGATCAGTAATGGGGTGAG